ATTTTTGTGTAATGTTACAGTTTATATTTCCCGTATAGATAAGGCCGCGCCTACTTTTTATACCTGTAACTGTGATGCGTTGTTTATGGATATTTCCCTGTATTTGATCATGATATGAGCACATAGCGCGTGTGGCAATATGAGCTAATACCTCGTGTGACAGTTCAATATAGATCTTTTAAAACACAGGAATTCTTCCAATTGGATGATCTGTGCTTTAGAAATAGCAAGCAGTATTCGAATATTTTCGAGTAAATAACAAATGTACATCAAAATGTAGAGAATGTAATATTTTTGTGAAATGTTTAAAGTTTTAATACTAACAGAATAAGAGCAATATCAGTAAACTAAGGCTGTAAACGGTTTAGACATATTGAAATGCATTGATGAAATTACTTAGCATTATATGCAGGAAAAAGTTAAATTGATGCAAAGCATCAGATCGGCCGCAAAAATGTATGTTGCATTTTAAAGTATTTCCACAAGAAAGAGTCAAAAAAAAAATCAAAGAAGAAAAAGTATATGATACATTTTTATTCTTAAACTGTACACTTCCTTACTTTTCTGTGCATTTTTATACTTTAATTTTTAATGATCAATTGTTAAATATTAATCAAAATAAATAAATTCATGGATATTTAAATCGGACAGAGATAAAGGATAGGAATGTATCATCAAATTATTTGATTCAAAGACAAATGCAACAAATATTTAAAATAATTGATTATGAATGTCTGAATGGTGAAAAAAGGACGTACAAACTTCATGTACTAATACCCTGGATCTTTGTCATTGTGATAATGCCGATCAGTGTTGTGATAGATATGAAGTGGAGGAAAAAATACAATTTTATCATTTGCAACTGCACTGTATTCAAGGCAAAATTCCCTTCTTAAACTTTTCACAATTTATAAATTATTTTAGGCACTGTAATTCATATCCGGGAACTCAATAATTTTGTTCTTATACATTCCTATGTTGGGGACCAGTTCATATAACAGCTTTTTTATACATATAAATCATAACGTAATAAATATCTGACGAGAATGAAAAACAAATTGAAATGTAATAACAACCATCTAGATGTAGTATTTACCATTTTTCTTAAAACTTTTATCCGTAACTTTTACGTATGTTATCAATAAGGAATTATTCCATCGAAGCAATGAAAAAATAACATCTCCTTTCCCAACACAACCACAAATAGATCGGCCGCTTCTGCGGCCGATAATAACTGTGCCGTGTGATTAGGCCAAGTAAGACGAATAACCTTTAATAAACTTCATACAGGTATGGAGGTATTTGCTCTCTGCATGTTTAGATAATGTAAAAGGTAAAGATAACGAACATTGATCGATTTAAAAAAAAGTCCATAAACAATACAAATATGTGATGAGGCATAAAACACGGACCCCTAGAAATTCCAGATGTCGGATCAGGTACCTAGGAGGAGTATTTCCTTTTGACCGTTTACACCCGCCGTGAGCCCTATGTATTGATCAGGTAGACGGAGCTATTCTTAGTCAATTCAGTACAAAAAGAAAGGCCTAACAACTGGTATGAAACAAGTCAGCCAAAACATGACACAATGATAGGTTATATTTGCTAACAATGTCATTATAACGACCATAAAATTTACGACATGCTGACTTTAAACGAGGCTGTTGAAATCCCTGTAACATCAACTTATCAGTGAGTAGCCTGTCTCGCTTTAAAAATTGATAGTACTCAGAGCAATCTCTTGAGTAGCGAAAAAGCTGGGAGACATAAACACCATGAGCAGGTGTTGGTGGAATATTACTACATAAATAAGGAGAGTTGACGATTGGAAAATCTAAAATCATCTCATTTGTCATACAATTTAGTTGTTAAATGGCTATTGATTATAACAGAGAGATATCACAAAATTAATGTATATTTTTTGTCAACTCTTTTCCTCTGAGTGATTCTGTTCCGTTTGATTTTCTACTTATTAAACTAAAAAACATATTAGAATCGAAAATGGTCGTTTATTAGCAAATTGACGATCAGCTTTTTCATATACACAACATATGTACAATATGTAATAAATAATAACAAAACTTTTGCTAAATACTTACAGTTCAAATTGTATCTCTGAATATCAAAGTTAGGTAACAACTTCTGACAATTTAAACATCGATAAGTACATGTAATTACAACTAGAAACACACCTCAAAATAGGTAGCAAAACAAGTCATTAAAAAGAGAGATGCTTAAAATTTTGCAAGGAAAATATAACACAACGCCTTGGATACGATTATATATATACATATTTATTAAGTCACAGTTGCACAATAGACATCATGTAGATAAACAGTTAAAACAAATTGTCAGCACAGCTTCTAAGTAAGAGTTCTTAGTACAAATCACCAGTACTGTTTACAATCACTAGTACAGTCACTTCCAATAGAAGCTTTACTAGTACAGGGGGGGGGGGGGGGGGCAGAAAGTTCTTAAGTTCGTATAGTGGTTAGTTTCAGTGTGTGTCTCTCATCTCAATTTCTTAATCTGTCCTCCGCCCGTCCAGTCTCAGAATATATATTAATATTTCCAATCGTCAGATCATGGCATTATTATTGGAAAGTTTCTAAATTATTCCGTACATTTATGAAATTGCTTGTTCGATTTACTTTCAGAATTAATCAAGTGTTCAATTACAATATTGAGTGTGGTCAATTGATGTTATCAAGTCATTTCCCAATACATTTAATTATTAGATACCAATAATGGGATGCTGACCAAATAAATATTTAGATAATGGTCTTTCATTCAATTATGATATTTCATCAATGTCAAGCTGACATGTCACGCTGACCCATAATATTTCACATTAATATTTACATCAATATTGAACTACATCAAAGACACAATTAGTATATAGAAAAGAATGCATGAGAACCTAAATGGCTCTCAAGGACATATAAGGATTATTATGCCTTGTACACATATGTCCTTATTAATCAAATGCACGAAACACAACATAGATTAAAAGTTAATATATAGTTTGTTTATATATAGGGTAAGTTCCAATTGTGTTACAAAAAATAGCACAACTAATCAAAACATACCACAATAAAAGACATTACTATCAGACAAACGTAAGCAAATGGCATTCAATTGGCTAAACTAATTTATCCCATGTTTACCCCTTTATCCCGTGGATATGACTCATTGAATATTTTTTTCATAACCCACAGTTGTGACGTCACAATGGTTTCTGCGTTAGAGTGATGAAGTAAAATATGTGGAGTCCTATATAAAACAGTGTAAAACATTGGATGTGAAGTATTAAAAATGGGATAAAAAGAATCTCCCATGATTTGTAGTTGGCTATGACTTTTATCCAACTCGTTGTGTGTTTTATCCCCTCGCCAAGGCTCGGGGATAAAAAACACACAACTCGTTGGATAAAAGTCATAGCCAACTACAGATCATGGGAGATCCTATATATAAACATACCACTAAAGGTTATTAAGGTCAGAAGATACGTTCCTGAAATATCGGTTTTGTATATCTTCGTATTGTATGGAAAATATTCCAAATTTTAATTACTTTCTGATTTCTAAACTTGTTTCTAATTGTCTTCAAAAAATTGAAACACTAAAAAATGTGATATTGGCAAATTAAGTTTTTTCCTAATGGATTTTATAGGAAATAACATCCTCTGGTATCTTGCACAAATGCCTGGTAAGGTACCTCAATTTTTTGTGAGTAAACATGTTAAAGTAGCAATGCTTCAATGATAAATTCGTAGAAAAAATTATATATTTTTGAGGAACGTATCGTCTGTCCTTAAAATCGTAGTAGTTAAAAATGACCAAAACAAAAAACAAAAAACAAAAACAAAAACAAAACAAAACAAAAAACAAAAAAAACAACTAACTAGACTACTCAAAGTATAAAATAAAACATGAACATGACTATTATTGTGCAAAATTATTCTTATGGAGTAATTTTCGCATTGATATTGAAGAAATTAATGAAAATTTTGAATGAGTTCATTTACAAAGTTTCACGCCGGCATTTTTCAGGCCGCGCGTTTGCGCTTGATCATTAATTTTCAGACGTGATCATGAAACGTAGTAGTTTATATACTACATGATTTTCAAAAATTAAATTCAAATTTTATTTACATATTTTTTCGGATGATTGGCTACAAAATATGTTCAACTATCTTTTTATCTACAAAAAGATTACTTTTTATTATTTCTGAAATAAAGAACAGCTAATTTTCATTAATATTGTCTAAAATGATAACATTGTAAATCTATGATCTTGTATTCAAAACTATATTTTTCCTGTCTAAAAAAGACAAATTACCAACCCCGTTTAACTTTTTATTTCATCAATACAACGAATATCATTTTTTTTTTTTAAAAGTGTATTGCTAGTTATAACTTTGAAACTGAAAATTTAACAGTACGTGGCAAAAGGTAAAGATGGAAAAATGATTTTACAATATTAATTATTCATAACATCGTTATAAATGATGACATTTTTTTGTTATTACTTCTTTAAAAATATATATAATATGCAAGAATCAATTTCTAAAATAGATGAGTGTTAGAGTCAAAGTACAAGCGACGAAAAAATATGTTTGCTTCTTTGTAATGGTGTTAGTGCTATAAAGAAAAAACAACTAAAATATTAGTATTAATTGATTGTTTTCCCGTACCTGCCATGCTTAATATATTATGGAAACATAAACTGCATTATCTTATCACTCAATGGTAATTGAAAAAAAAACATGACGTTTGAATTAGGTTACATGATACAAATAAGTTGATTTTATAATTCAATTATTAATCTGGCAAATTATAAGTTACAATATCAAACGTTTAATCGTTTTATCAAACTTTTACCAGTGATTTTCTGTACATTTGCATTGAAAATATTAATGATGGATGCTGCAAATCCTGGTTCTTTAATTTTAATCATATCATTTGTATTCTGTAAGGCATTTTACGGATTTTGACATGTTAAACGAGGGTACTTGTAACAGAATTGCTTATGTTTGGGGCATGACCACTACAAGTACTTTCCTTCTTAGAAGCTTCCAGATTAAAGTAGACTTGAGCTCCCAGCACTCTAGACTTAAATATATTCTGTAGTGCCGAACGAAACTGCCGACTCATCAAGAAAAATATCCAGAAATTGCATGCGTAGCTCATTAAGGACAAAAGTGTGGAAATTGTGTCCCATGCAATGTCAGCTTCTTTAGATAAAAATGATCTTTTAGCATTACGAGCAAGCTCAGCTGCGTAGATAAAGTAGGCAATGCCATCTTGTATCTCAGCAACTACAAATACCGCTAATATAAGAAAAATCAACACGGTTGTCCTTTGTGTTACTTTTTTTTTCTTTGAGTAACAGCATTTTACATTATTCACTCGTTTAAATAAAAAGTAGGCCAATGTCACGGTGGTGAAAATGAGGATGGCAACCGGAAGTACACGATAAAGTAGTCCAGAAAAAATGTAAAATATCATTGATGATTTGGTGGCATCACCAACAGTGTTGATCAAACCAAGAGAAATTTCTTTTATACAACCGGAAGGCAGAGACTCGTTCAAATAAAAACTGGTATAAATTGGAATCTCTTCAATGTAAATTCCGAAGGCTTCGTACAGATTCAACAGGAACGCAACAAGAGTTATGACAGCAATTTCTACAAAAGTTGCCGTATTGCTACATAGTTTGCTGTATTTGAATGGCAGCGCTACAGCAAGCAATCGTTGTATTCCTAGGACAGCGGTAAACCAATTTGACGTCATTCTGCATATCTGGTAAATAATGTAGAGCACGTGATTTACTTTGCACCATTGGTAAGTCACATAAAGATTCTTATAGTTTTCTGCAATATTGAAATAAATTGCTTCTGGCAGTTCAGTGAAACATATGACTGAGTCTGAAATTGCGAGTGATGTCAAAACAATGGTTGTAGGAGACCGCGTACTTCTAAAGATGAAAACAGATACTAACAAAGTGTTAGTTACTATGGTAATGAAGGCTAAGATACATTTTACATAACCTCGTAATGGAATTTCCCACTTTCCTGTGATTTCGTACGTGTAAGCGTAAAACTCTGAATAGTAATCATAGTTATCTCCATCATAGATTGACTCACTGTGGTTAAAATCTGGGGTATTTTCCGAATTGTTTAATCCAACGAAAGTAGAATTGTGAGATAAATAATTTGCCATATCAAAGAAGCCAAATTTTTCGTTGAGGTTTTTTATTCAAATGGGAAAAAAAGATCAACAAATCTTACTGCTGATTTCGTTGAAATGAAATTCTCTTCCGTTATCTACACTAGACTGCTTTTTTTCCATATATATATATATATATATATATATAAGTTTTTCTAGAAATTTCGTTCTTCCTTTTCTATATATTGTAATAAATCTAGAAATACTTTTTTTTTTTTAATTTTTCCAAACCAAAATTCATAATTTCCTTATAAAATACTGTATCCGTAAAGCAGAGATCTCCTTACAAAGTGAATATATATATATATATATATATATATATATATATATATATATATATATATATATATATATATATATATATATATATATATATATATATATATATATATATATATATATATATATATATATATATATATATATATGTTATGTATGTATGTATGTATGTTCGTGCGTGTGTGTGTGTGTGTGAGGACTTCTATATAAAGGGCACCAGGAATATTATACAACCTTAAGGGGATATTTTATATATTCTTTCATCTTATATATATTTGTAAATATTTTGTTTCCTGTAATCTATTTAACTAAAGCCAAATTGTAGTGTTTTACAAAGATTTTCATTGCAACTGCACTGATTTGTGTTTTTATCATAGAAATGTGGGTTTCCCCTCTTATTACAACCTCCCAATTGTTCAAATCAACTAAAGGAATCTGCTTTCCTGAGGTAGACCTAACTCCACCACACCTCCTACTGATAATGGAGAAAATGAAATTATGTTAATAAATTTATATTTCAGGTACATGACCAAAATAAAATGCCTTTGCATTTCCTCTAGAAGATTTTCACCCCAGGACCCCAGAAAAAAGTCCACTAAAAATAAAAAATCACTTTTACAGATTGGTTATTTGTACACTATCGTGGCAAACCACGGCCGAAATATACGATCTTCCCCAGCAGAGATCTATAAGTGGACCACGGCTTGAAAACATGTCTGTACAGCCTACTACTAGAAATATTATTAAGGGTTTTTCCTGCAAAAAAATATCTTCTTTTTTCGTATTTCACCGGATGTATTCCCAATTTTTAGCTTTTAACATAGATAATCAGCAAGATAAAAGTTTTGAAAGATATATATTTTTACGTGTCTCCCTAATATTTGAAAAGCATTTTCGCTACTTTAAGGGGAAATGCACAATATAAGTACAAAAAGTAACCCGTATATATTTTACATGTTAGGGACAGCAAATTAATAAACCTGCTGAAACCTGCTGAAAGAATTGGACTTAGAATATTCAAAAGCGTTATTGCTATCCTTGATATAAATTCATGCACATGTACATGCTGAACTCATTAAATGGAGAGAATGATGCGAGAATTGATGTAAGTAAGAAAAAAAAATTGAAAGATATATATTTTTACATAAGATAATGTTTTTGTTGAAAGGGGCACAAGATAAAGCAATCTTACCAAAAACACCATAATCACTGTAATAAAGAGAAAAGGAGTTTTATGAAGTTTAAACTCTTGAAAGTTATAACCACAATTCTTGCATAAATAGGATTATATGAAATCCCATATAATAGGGTGTATTAAAGGAAAGTTACTGTAGATAGGCATTTCAAGACTTTCAAAATATGAATTAGTTGTTAAATCTCTTGTACCTGGTATAAGTAGCATATACGCATTTTGATTGTTCCCAAACAATTATATGATGCATTCTGTAAAAAAAAACAAACAAACAAACAAACAAACAAAAAACCAACTTCTTTCAAAGTCGGAATTACTTTTGTTGCATTCCACTGAAATATTTTTTTGATTAGTGTAATTGCATGAAAATAAGTAAGTAAATAATTAATTAAGCCCTATTTTCGACATCATAATATATAAAATAAGGATCGAATAAGGGGAGTTTTGACAAAAAGTTTATTCATAAACATTTTTAAGGTATAAAATATAGAAAATTTAAATATTTCTGCATTGCACTCATATATAAAAAAAACATAGTATTAATATTTAAACAGTTGAGAAGAATGTTTTAGCAAAACAAATATGGAATGCTTTATAAGCACTTAAAATAAACTGTGAAATATTAAAAAAACATACATTTGCTTTAAATAATTAAATAAACATGATAAATGCAAAAGCAATCAGTACCAGGTTCATTTTCTTAAGTGCAATGTAGATCTGCGATACCCTAAAACATTACGTCTCTATGTACATAATTATTTTGACATCGTTAGTTTATTTCTAGTGGAGGACTTTCATTAAATGTGATTTCAGATGTATATGAAATAGAGACATAAGGCCATATCATTGGGTTTTTGACCTCTCCCGACTCAGGGTTAAAAACAAATGGGTCAGTAGGCAGGAGGGAAATATTTTCCCCCAGAAATTCTCAACATCAATGCTGAATTTTAATAATCTGTTAAAATTAAAGGTATCAATACAATTAAAGAGTTACTGACAGGATGAGAATATTCCGGAGAGAAGACAAAAAATTATCGTTTCCTGGAGGTTATAAAAATTTTTGAGTCGACCATTTTTTTCCCCAGTCGGTCGGGATAGGGCAAACAAACAAACATTTTTTTAATATAACTAATTAATTTTATTTTGCATAAATGAATTGTTTTGAAAATAAATTTAGAGAAACAAGGTTCTATTTTATCGATGCTTAAAAGGGGAAAGCCGACAATGTACATGTACTATCTGCTATTTCATGAAAGCAGAATGTTGTATCTGCTTTACATCGAGTCAACTGATCTTTTGATCTAAATGTTGCACTTAAGTACCCAAAATGTTTATTCTGAATGACTGAGACAGGTGCATGCAATTATCATACCTGGACATCTGGATCCTTTTGCTTTGTGTTTTCTTTTACGGAAATAGATATACAGAGAAATCGTCACAGGTTTCCAAAGCAGATTCTTTTAAGAATGATTGGAGCTTCATGGCCGCCGTCACCATAGTGATAAACATCCATAGTTACTGCATTGATACTTATTGAAAGGGAGATAAGGAAGATTGATATTCCATAATATAAACCTAAAAGGGAAAAAATGACTGTTCAAAAGATATCAATAAAGTTTTCAGACGATAATCTGTGTGCGATATTAATAAAGTGTTATCAAACCAATAGTGAAAGACAAAAATGTGTATGAGAGAGAGAGAGAGAGAGAGAGAGAGAGAGAGAGAGAGAGAGAGAGAGAGAGTTTTATAAGTAGATCTTTGACCTTCATCAAAATATTTACTTCAAACAAAAAGTATTAAAAGTAGACAAATGCAGCAAAATGTTTGGACAAAAATATGTGTCAGGGTTCAAATCAAGTCAGTCGTTACGGTAGCTCACTCGGAAAAGCGCTCGCTCCGTGATCGGAAGGTCGTGAGTTCGAATCTCGGCCGCAGCTGTCATAAGTCGATAAATAATAGGTAGCAACTGTTCCTTCACCAGGCGCTCGGCACTTTGATGTGAAAGTGGCGGGTCCTTCGGACGAGACCTTAAAATTAAACCGAGGCCCCGTGTAACGGCAGACGTTGCCACGATAAAGATCCCTCACTGCTCAATGGCCCTGAGTGCCGAGTAAAGGTCCAAATTTGAAGCCCTTCACTGGTATATGGTGAGGTCTTTATATCAGTGAAAAATTCTCGAATGTGACGTTAAACAACCTAGAATCAATCAATCAATCAAATCAAGTTCAGACTTACTTCAATCTAATTAAAATCAGATTTCGTAGATTCCAGTCGTTTTCACTCTCACGCAGAGTGTATTTGGCGCGGATCTAAGAAATCTGATTTTGATTAGATTGAGACTTACTTATGAGAGGGATTGCATCTGACACTAGAGGGAGACTATAAGCCACAACCATTTGTAAAACAACAATCGACAACAATGTTGTTAATCCGATGGATATTTTCTCTTCAGATCCATGAACAAAAAAGCTAAGAAGTGATATAATCATAAATAAATTTTTGGCATCAAGATTTTGAACAAATAATAAAGTGGTTTACGTTAAAAAAACTATCATGTATCTAGGTAAAGAAATGGATTAGTCCATTCGGCAGAAAGCAACGTGTAGTTATGAATAGTATAATTCACAAGATCAAACTCTGAGTTTGGATGATAAACATTAAGGTCAGCATCTTGGTTGTCCGGAATAACATTTATGTCACTGTTGTCAAATGACCAAGTTCCAAAATCAAGAAAACATTCTTGCACATCGAAAGGAAAATATTGAATATCCATCGAACACTTGCTTTTAAAAATCCATCGTGACCACCATAATGCTTGCCCCTTTGAATTAATGGGGATGTTTGTACTGATTGACGATCCCGTGCTTGAATCAATCCTAGAAAGCACATTTTTTGTTGAAGATTATGTATTAAAATTCATTTGAACAATGACTTCATAAAATATCAAACAGAAATCATGAAACACTAGTTTAAATGAGGGCTGTTGATCTTGTCATGCTTAATTATGAATCATTAAAAAATATTCATAACAGTAGATGGTAGTTGGAGACTTCCGATTTATATAGAATTATATTTGGCTTTCAGATTTGATCATGTTGAAGATGGATAAGTTTTAGGTAATCATATTCAGGAGGATCCCAAATAAGATTCACATCTGTCCAGTTCTGTAAATAATCAAAAGATATCATTAAGAAGTGTTAATATCAAATTAAACGACCATTGCTATAATGCCAAACACATCTTCTCTGGATTTTTTTTCCTAGGGGAAGTATAACATGGAAAGTTAAATACAAGTGACTAGTAATCCCAAAGTTCTCCATCAGGACATATACACAATTGCAATGATATTTCTAATTCAATTAAAAGGTAAAGTGTTATTATTCTGTATGTAAGTCAAAATAATGAATGTATCAAAATTCATTGTTTTATTCAGTGTGCTAAGTAGAATTAATATGCAATATTTATTTTATGTATATAGTGCAACTAGCTAGAATTATGAACGTAACTAAACGTACAACAAAGC